CCTGGGTAGACCCTGTTTCCCAGTAGTCCCCAGTGGGTTTTCTTTCTATCTCCTTGACTTGTGATCCAATTGCTTCTCTGCATTAGCTCACCTGTACCAGCAGGATTGAGGTCATAGGATACTTTCTATTAATGGCAGGCTCGTGCTCTGCAGTAGTTTGTCACAACTAATCTACAGAAACCTGAAGGAAGATATGTTACATCCTCAGTCTGCAGCCAGGGGACCTGAGCTGGGACATCTCTTGCTCACCCAGCTGCTCCTGCAGGTTGGTCAATGCCCTTTTCCAACTCATGGACAGTGGTTAACCTGACTGCTCTTTCAGAAAGTGCCATAAAGAAGGTGTTGAATGTGCTCAGATCTACCTACATGTGTCAGATTTCACTGAAAAGAAGCCTGTTGTGGCTAAAAAATAATATATGCTGATAAACTTTTCCTGAAGGAGTAACAGATCTAAAGCTTATTGAAATAAAAGCAAAGAATAGGCTTGTTTCTAGCAGGCTTTGATTAAGGCCTGCATTCATGATCATATTACAATGTCTTTTTAAGTAACTTTGTAAGAGTGGGCTGGCTTTATTTTTTTCTTGGTGCAGCAAATCATAGCTAAGGGGAGTGTGAAAGCGAGGAAGCAGGAACCACAGAAACAGTGCTAAAGGAATTTAAAATGAGAAATGCATTAAAAATTTAGTATGTGAGCAGAAGTGGACTACTTTGCTATGGAAGGGTGAAAGGGAAGAAAATTCATCATTTTAATATGTGCCAGGCAAGGACAAACACAAATCTGATCACATCTGAGAAAGTAGAGAGCAACTACCTTGGCTTACATTGAAATGCTCTTGCAAATATTTTGATTTAAATGAAAGAATGGGAGGAGGAATGAGCTAGATACGGTGCTTATGACTGTATCTGTTTGTGTGAAGCCATACCATGCTCAGCAAAGGTAAATTTGTTTGACTTGAATGCTAATGTTTGATAATATGAAATGACGATATTTCCTCCTTACCTTAATCAAGGGTATTTTAAAGAGTTTCTGGAACTAGAAGCTTTCAAAACAGTTTGAACTGTGTCATTTTTGCAAAACCAACCTGATAATTAAGGTTCCACTCTGTATGGCATGTGAGAATCTCACTGTGCTGGAAGCTGATGTGACTGGAAGGTAATTCTGAGATCTCTGGTGGGGAAAGACCATGTTCCTGTATGAGCAGAGTGACTTTGGGTTGGGTCTGTGTGCAGAGACTCCTGGTTGTGTTGAGACTTCAGTTGTGTCCCTTCTGGTCATACCAATCCATCCACCTGCAAGCATCACCTTGCAATGAGACTTTAAGGAACGCTGGTCGAACACCCCCCAGTGTTCCCACAAGAGTGTTCTTAACTTTCCTAACAGGCCACAGCTGGAACACCCATTTAAAAAAAAATTTTTTTTTTCCTTTTTAAAAAGGAGAAAAATTGTCTTCCAGGGGCTAGGAGGAAAAATCAAGAGAAAATTTGGTGAAAGCTTTCAGAACTCTCTGCATTTAATTAGTTTCTTTATGGAGCAGGACTTGGATGCCAACAGTGTGTATGGAGGCTTCAGCGAAGAGCAGTATCATGGAATTTCTCATAGAAAACAGATCTTATCTGGGTTGTTTTTCCTTCTAAAAGCTACTGTACAATCAAGAAGGAGATACATATGTGAAAGAGGGAAGATGCAAATGTGTAAGTTTAGGCCATTCACATTAAACACCCAAGAGGGGGAAACAAGCCCCCTCATTTTCCTGCAGGAGAAGACATGAGTAAGAGATGTCAGTGCAGCTATGACATCTGTTTACATGGGGATTTTATGCACCTGTTCACTAGGCAATAACAAATGCTTACCATGGTGGTAGCTGTATCACACGGTACATATGCTGCTTCTGACATACATAACACCTCTTTAAGGAAACACATGGCCCCATATGTCATGAGAACTTGTTTACATTCTACAATACAGTAATGGAAAATATGTTTCATAATAAATGTTTTCATCATTTTTGTGTTTAAGGAAAGAATGGGAGTTTTACACCCTTGCTGTCAGTCTGTGTCCTCCCTCATTGTTCTCACTGAAAGATGTGTGGCTATGAACTAAACTTCCTAAAAGCTTTCAAAATTTTGGATCTTAGCAGTTCAGCTTTGAGGACTGCTGTACCATGAAAAGGGTGTAATAACAAAAATCCACATGTATTTGGATGTGCATCAGAATATTTATCTGTTTGACCTTCTATAACATGTCCTATTTCTGGTCAGGCTGACAAAAGCATTGAGCATGTTTGCCTGTGCCTGGCTCTTGAGATGCTGAAGCCTCTTAAGAAACAGTAAGCCATTGCTTTGCAGCACCACCTTTTAGTTCAGGAATCCTGGAACTGAGAAAAGTTATTATGTTACTTCATCCCTGAAATTAAGCAGATCATCTTCCTGAAAGCTGGCTTGTCCAACCTCTTGGGAAACTGATTCGAATGTGTCTGTAGCTTGGCTGTGGATTGGTTCAGATCATTCAGATCTATGCTACCATTTTAAGACTTCTCCCCTTCTAGTTGTTTTGTCAATGTTTCTACCCTGAAGAGTGCTCATACCCAGGAGTTCTGAGATCTTGATTCAGCCCCTGTTGCTGGGGCAAGGTTTTGTCCTGGAGTTAAACTAACAGCATTGTGGGAACTCAAGAAAAGAAGCTCTTACTTATGGAAGAGAGATCAAGGAGTCTGACGTTGTTACAGGGATATGTGATAGGGATTTTTTGTTTATTTCTTTGGTATTCACTCTGCCACTTAAGGAATCTGTTTTTGTACATCTGGTTATTCATTTACAGATGTAACTGATTCATATTCCTGTTGTTAGGTAACTGGAGTGAAAATCAGAGCCTATCTTTTTAGGGGAATCCACTTGTTTACAGGCAATACTGAAGGGTGAATATTGGGAATGTGTCAACTAACAATTTCTATTATTTTCATTTAAGGAATCACATATTGCTATGTTACACTCCTTTTGTCATCTTAGTCCTTTTTCAAAGCAGTATTCACCAATATTTCTGCAGTAATTGATATAAAAGGATGGATTGATAAATATTTATCCAAAATTCAACAGCCTCAGCTTGTCAGCTTTCTTTGTGCATAGATGTAGTGCTGTCTAACAACAAATAATTCTCAGGAGTTTCATCGTGTCCTCCAGAATTTATTTTTTTTTTAACCAATACATCACCTATTTCACATGTATTAGAAATCACCTTTCATTTTCTTTGGTTTAAAATAGCTGCCTGATAATTTCTTCAGCCATTGTGAGAAATAGAAAGCAGCATTTGGCTGTTTGTTCTTTGTGTGTGTGTATTGTTGTAAATCTTACACAGAGAAATATTTTCCCTCTCTCCCAACATCCTTTCTGGACTGGAAAGTCTGTGTCTGTTTTGGCCAAGCTTGGATAATTTATGTACCACCATGCAACCTCTGTGACCAATGGGCACAGAGAACTTCAAAATCTTCTTCTGGAGCTTGCTGATAGTAAAATAATAATTAAAACACAAGTGGATTAAACTTCATTTTTAATGACGTTTTCCAATTTTATACATTCTTGCTGCTAGTTTCTGAGTTTCGTGTGGCTTGTGCAATATATTAAGGCGTGAAGGTGCTCTTTCCTGTATGCATTGAAGACCAAACAGAAGTATTTTGGGTTACTCTACGAGCTGAACATAAGTTCTTGCATTTTCTGCTACAAACATGCTGTTCTATTGTACTTGGAGGATTTACCAATGAGAATACCCTTGCTAAAATAAACCATCTTGCAGAAAGTCTGAGGCTAACACACAGGATAGCACAGGACAGCTCTGGCATTTAATCCTCCTCTTGATTGGGAAAAAAAAAAATAAAACACCACAACAGGATACCTACCAAAGTGTCTGGTCTCTGAACTCTGCATAATAAAGAGAAATATGATATATTCTTTTAATAACTTGAGAAGCCTAAGGCCATAATTCAACAAAGCATGTAATTCTCATTGACTTCTCAGTGATACTAAAGGTTAACCAAGTGCTGAACTGGGGCTATAGATACAATCATAATCTGTACCTGATTAAAACCCACCTTAGCTAAAATTGTGGGTTTACCAGACTTTATCAATACTCAGTTTCAATTGTAAATAATTCTTCTCTCTTAAAATGAGGTGTTTTTAATGCATAAAAAAGGTGTTTGGTTCTTGAAGATAAAACTCGGCTGATGGAGTCAAACTTAGGATTCCATTTCTACACCTTGGTTTATCCCACACATAAATAAAGACATACATATTTATAGGTTATTCTCACAATTAAGCCCAAGACTCCTTTTGGCTTTATAATTGTACAAAGAAAAGAGGGGGTGGCAAATCTTGTTTGAGTTAGAATACTTGGAAGTAGTTTTTTTTATTTTAAGATGCATTTCCTTTTTATCATTTTTTTTTCATTGTAATTTAACAGAGCAATTTTGAAAATACCGAGGGCACATTTGTGCTGTGTTTTTGTATTTCTGACACCTTTTAGAAGAGGAGGATGTTTTCATTTTCAGTGGTGCTAGAGTACATGGGTGTATGGTCCCTGCTGGCTGTAATTCTGTGCCAACCTTTTGTGTGTTCAATACACTACAGAAACTTGCAACAAAATTTTGCCTGTTAATTTTTGCTCTAAACCCTACTGGACAGGTCCATTGGCCATGCACTTAGTATCTTGCTTATGGTAGACTGCCAGCAAGCATTATTACTGTGAGAATGGCATCATTTAAAAAGAAAATAACTTAAAAGCCCTAAGGAAGAACTGTTTCCTATCATTTTAAAGCAGCACGTAATGTTTCACCATCCAACTTTTTTTTTTAAGCGTTCTTTAAAGTCAAGTAATGATATCAACCTACAGAAACTTGGCACAATAATTAAATAATCATTTTTCTTCCATTGTTGAATCAAGCCACGAAGAGAAAAGTCACAACTGAGATGAATTTTATTTTGCTATCATATGCAGTGAGCAGTTTCTGAGAAATATTGTTTCCTCACTACAGGGAACCAATGCTCTCTATTAGCAGAGCCAAGCAAAATTTCTGAAAATTGTTATTGTAATGTTTACATAATGAGATCATATTTTTTCCCTTATGAAGTACAGGTGCAAAATCTAAACACTCTGGTCCCAGAAGTACAACTTTCCAGCCATTTCTTTCTGAAGTAGTCCTTGTGAACTTAACCAGCTAGCTATTAATGGGCTATTTACAACCCTGCTAAATCTTCTCTTTTTGCCTCTTACAATCCTATCAGTGCAAAAAATCTCCAGCAACTCCAAACCTTTCTACACTTTATTTATCTTTTTCTCATATTCTATTTTTCAAGAGGCAGTCAACCTACAGAAGAGCATCTGCTGGACCCTGAGTGGGGAACAGACAGGCGGAACCCTTGCAAATGTAAAAGCCAGGAGTGGGTCTGGCCCCAGATGGTAAGTGTTTGCTCTTAATAAGGAGGCTCTTTCTCCAAAGGAAGGCAGGCAGCACCCTCTAGCACTGAGCCTTTGCTACCACTCCAATGACAGACACTGCCAAACATAAATCAGAGTGATAACAGCCTCTGCTGGGGATTCAGACCCACATTTTCCTGTATGGAAGATAAAATCTTTTCTGGTTCTTAATTCAATCACATACCCAACTGGCAATCTTGCATATCAAAATGGGAATCCTGGGAGGCTGCTGGAATATGCAGATCAACAGAAGCTAATTAGCATTTACTTGCAGCCATCCTTAACTGATTGGCAGCACAGCTGTGGGGACCAAGCAGAACATGCTGAGTTGCATATTTGTATGGCCACCTGCCATTTGGTGGGATCCAAAATAGTGTAAACTACCATTTCATAATAACTCAGTGACCTTAGTTTTGAAGTAATATTGAATAGACATATCTGGCTAAGTGTATAATTAGTGCTTATTTCACCTGACATGCAGTTCAACAATAGGCTGTGCAGCAGTATCTTCTTAATTTGACATGTTGATGTCTTAATTGAGATTGACAACTTGTTAGAGAGGTACTCTATTTCCAATGCAGGCTGAGATCTATCCATCATCACTGACTTTCCTATACATATGAAACAATGCACTTTTATGCCTTAAAACATATTTCATCTACTGAGAACTGAATGATCAAACATGAGTAGAGCTCAATGATGAAAGCACTTGATCCGTTCTCTGCAGGGTTTTTATGTGAGTCAAGAAACATTACAAAGAAAATAAAGGAGGGAAACATTTAGACAGAAGTGATGTCAGCATTGTAGGCCACTTCACACAATGGTGGTGAAGAGTAGATGGGTGAAAGCTGTACCAATGATTTACTATAAGCCATTGAGAAGACAGTGGTGCCTTTTGTGTTTAAGCAAGTGGAGAAGTTTTGTATCAGGATTGCCTCATCCTGATCTGGAAATCTGTTAGCTGGATGGAGGGATACCTCTGCTTACAGGTGAAAATAACTGTGCCTGTGACAAAGTCTGTATTACTGACCTCTTTAAATGGGCATGTTTTATCAGGATGGCTGGACTGGCTTGTGACAGCTAGGAATTTGATTGTCTTACAGAAGGCACGACACAGAATTGAAAGAAATACATACATGAATATGGTGGTAGGTGGTTGGAGGATTACATGCAGGGCTGCCGATCTTTGTGAAATGTAAAGAAATATAAAAGCAGTGCTGTAGTGCTCCATGGAAGATGTAGTAGCGTGGTGATAAATTAGAAGTTCCAACTCTGGGCTTTGGATCACACCCATGGTTACCATGAAATGATGTAGTTCTGTTTCTGGATATTCACTTGTATGCCTGCAGCTTAGAGAGTTCAGGAGATTTGCTTCTGCCCCACCAGTGGTTCATCTTCAGATGATTACTTGGACACGTGGTTCTGTGAGCACCAGAGCAGTCTGGCAGCTGGTTGTAGGATGGAAGAGAGATCAGAGTCTAAGTGGACTGGCAACTTGACAGCCTCTTGGGCAGGTTGCTGCAGCTCTGGGCTTTTTGTATGGATGGGAAGCCAGGAGCCTGGGAGCAGTGTCTCCTTAGCCCTGAGACCCTCATTCATCTGGACTTCCACTTTCACTGCTTCGTGTTGAGCAACTAAGCTGGATTTTAATTAGAAACTTATTTGAGTTGTTTGATAATTTTTCAAACCTTCTAGATTTCCTTCTTTTCCTTCCAAATCAGAATGAAAACAAACTTTGGAATATTAGGATCATTCCTGTGCCAAAATTACAAATCTTCATCCAACTCTACTTCTAAATTTGTCGCAATAGTATTTGTGACTGAGCTATGTCATGTTATATCATGCTGTGTGAATGACAGCCTGACATTATAAGTGCTCATCACAGTGCTGTATATGTATAAAGATGTTCTGAGTTCTGCCAACAAACAGACATGATTGTTTGGGAAATACGTGTATTCAGTAAACCTCAGGAGCAGTGTTATGGGGGCAGGCAGTGAACTCAGCCTCCATCAGCCAGTGTTGTTGAGGCCTGAAGGCTGATGTGGTCCCAGTGTTTCCACCATAAGTTCGTAACCACATGACAAGGAGGAAACATTGCTTGAAATGAAGGCCAGCATGGGAAAAGTTTGGTTGTGAGCTGCATCAACCTCTCCATCAGGTCCTGAAGAATGTGTTTTCCATGTATTGTGTACTGCAGGCAGAGCCACATGCTGCTGTGCGAGCCTTTGAGCAGAGTATGACGTTTGCACAGTGAGCCCTGTTGCCTCTCCAACAAAATGGGCAGTCTCTTAGAAAACTCAAGAAAATGATTTTGATACAGTAGGGAAAACTCTGGGAGATACTTTGTGCTCTCTCTAATATTGGGAAGGATGGTCCTGCCCACATGACAGCAAATTCCATGAATCTCAACTTCCTGCTATGCTGAGGGGCACTCTAACCTGGCTAAGACCACATTCTGGATTTTCCCTAAGTGCAGACGTTCATCTCTCCTATACGTGTGACATCCCACAGCAGTCAGACATTGTGTATCTGGCAGGGTATGGGAGACTCCTCTGTTGGGATTCATCCCAGTCCCTGGCAGTGCTGTAAGAGTTAATTGGGCAAGTTATTTTTAAGAGCCTGTACCGTTAGCTGAAGTGAGATGCAGTCCTTAGTAAAGACTTTTTGTTTCTTTCTACTATGCAAAATAACAAAAAAGACTAATCTTAAAACTGCTCTTAATGAGTATAACCAAAATATTAACAGTAGTAAACAAGAATACATTTGCTCATAACTTGTCATATCAGTGTAATAAATTAAGCCAGAAACACATTAACATTTGACAGCTTAAACAATGCAGGAAAAAATACAAACCTCACAGGGACTATGTGAAGCATGTTGGCAGTTTAACAGACATTTTGAGATGTAGATACATATATCAACCTTTCTGAATTTAGTCTTGATAACTCCTTTTCCTCTGTGTGCCAAAACACTGCCGTGTGAAGACTAATGAGTTCCAGATTTGTTTATCTTTGGTGGCTAAGGCAGATTCATGAGCCCCTTGAACCTATTTTACAGCGGTCATGTGACAGCAGTGTGCAAACACCAGAGGCAGAAACGTCTCTTCTGTGCTGATGGATATACAGCGTGTTAAAAGATCTTACAAGAAAGATGTGCTTGGCCATCTGATACAAGGGACCACGTCAAATCCGTTTTGAATGATCTATGTGAGTGAATTGTCCTGCTATTAGCTTTCATATGTGTTTTATGTTTATGTTCAGAGGTGTAATAAGAAATGCTCAGAATAAATCTCGCACAGAAATGGGGATTATTGTGTCTAACAGCAAGACTTCATCATGTGCACTCAGATTTTTGCATGGATCATTGTTTTTTTTTCCAAGCTTCTTTCTTTAAACTGCATAAGCTCATGCAGACTCTGGTCCACCTAAGTGAAACTTCCTCTTGTTTGTCCCCTATTGTATATCTACTTCTTTGTTTGTATAGTTTCACTTTTCTATTAATCGATTTATGACGTTATAATACATCAAAGTCAACATTCCACATTTTGTGTAGATTTTTGGAAAGACTCAGCAGAGCAGTGGTTCTACCTGCTGACTCCTTAGTGAACTTAGTTGCTTGCATCTCTCACCCCCTCACACTCATAAGTGTTTTATATCTCTTGAAAGAATGAAGTGGATGCAAAAGAGACTTGGGTAACTTGAAGCAGAGAGTGCTACACAGGTATCTCTGGGTGAGGGCCAGTTGCTGTGCTGAACTTGCCTCTCCTGCCATGGTTCCAGAGGTCTGGCCAGGAGGCTGAGCTATGTGCCAAGCTGGTGATAACTGCAGGTAACAGAGAATGAGTTTAAATAATTCTGATCAACACCCTAAGTGACTTTGTGTTGGTTTTTTCTGTGAGTTTCATTTTGTTAATGTTTTAGCAGATGCGTTTGGACTTACTATTTAAGTAGAGCGAATCCTTCTGCTGAGTCTGCTCACTGTCCTTCTGTTTTTAGTGAGTAATATTTTCTTCATAACTTCTTTGGTTGTATTTTTTAAATAAGCAACGTGAAAAGTCAGTAACGATCCCTCTTTCTCCTCAATTTCAATCTGAGAATGATGTAATCCAAATGCAGCCAGAACCATGTAAGACTTTCCATAGAAGCATGAGCTTACGAGGCTGTGTCCTGTGCAGGAGATGCCATTTATGTGTATCCTCATAGTGTGTGATCTGGGGGAGGCAGGGGAAGAGAAGGAGGAAGAAGAGAAAAACCAGAGAAACTCAATTATGTATAGAAGTTATTTGTTGGATTATTTGTATGGAAAGCTTACTTGTAATTTGAATTTTTAATAAGTCACCTGAAACCTAAGCTCTGATTTTCTAGAAATTGGCCTTTGTTAGCTTTCTGATAGAGGTAGAGGTACTAAATCTAGGTCAGAATTTGTTCCAAAGTAACAAGAAGTAACAAAAACTTTTCAGTTTCACTTCCTGTAGATGTCTTCACTGTGTGCCCCGTATGCAGTTGAGCCCAGAGTCCCCATGTTCTATGCATGAGATAAAGGAGAGAGTCCTTGGCTGGAAACGTTCCCAATCTAGATAGATATGACAGCTGATAGATGGATAAAGAGGAATTTTGTTTTACTGTAAGTGCATATTGCTGAGTTGCTGAGTGGAGAAGGGATTCAGCCACAGACAGGAATTTTGCCTGCCCTGACACATTGCTTCTGCTCATGCCACAGGTCGCACTGCTCTTCCACTTTGTAAAAGCAACCTTCTAACTATGATTTTCTTGACAGAATAAAAAAGTGAAAAGCAAAAAGATACCATTTCACCTAGGAACAGTAGTCCAATTCCCTACCATGAGCAATGACTATTCTTGTTCCAGCACAAGTCAGACCTCTTCATAACGTACCTTATAACCTGTTAATTATAATTTCCTTCTCTAACGCTTGGATCACACTACTAAATATTTTTAAATATCTATATATGTGTTTTTTAAGCTGCTGGGTTTGGGTTACACCTTTTCCATATGCCCAACCCACACAATCCCATCAACGCTTTCACACACCAGTCAAACACTCTATATTTGTGTGAAACTCACTGAAGGAAAAAAATTCCTATTACTACTACTACTAATACAAATTCATTTCTCACAACTATTTGTGTGCCACTGAATGAATTTACTGCCATTGAATGCCTAACTTTTTGTTGCATCAGTTTAGTGCAGGTTTTTTATTTATATTCGTAATTACTTCCATCCCATCACCACGTGCCTTATTTTTTTCTCCTCTTTACTTGACAAAGCTCTCTTTACAAAACTTAATCACTTTTTGTATGAGCAATTTCCCCAATCCATTTTATGTTCTGTTGTGCAAACCATGTTCTGAAAGTTGATACACATTGCAACAGCAGGTGTTAAGACAGGCAAGGAGGGAACAAAAGCTCTTAGTGCATGAAAAAAGTCTAATAATAGACAATTTGTTCACCTGGCACTGGCTGCTTTAGCATTTGAGATGAGCTCATTGTTATTTGGCAGTGAGCTTTCTGCTGGTCACAGGGCTGAAAATATGGAAAAACCAGGTTGTGGAAATAAAGAGTTGCTAATATTAGAACAGCTTTAAATGGTGCGTGATAGAACTGGAAAGGTTGCAGGTTGAGCTGGGGGATTGAAATAGTGAGACACTTCCATAACTGGGAAAGTAATCAATAAAGACACTGTTGTGTATACACTTGCAATAAAATTACACGTGTAAACATTTTCAGTAACTGTACTTCTGGGCAAGCTGTTCAGAGCAGCTTTGCACTCAGAAGTGTAGTTCCATTTTTTTCTAGGCTCGATGAAAACGTGGCCATTAATTAGGGAAGCTCACCATACAAAGCAGAGTTAAACAATCTGGTCAAAGCCAAACTCACAATCCATAAAGACAGCTTTCTGCAGGGCTGTGCTGAGAGCATTGGGATGCCTTGTTTGAGACCCCAGTACACAGAGTGCACGTCCAGCCTAGTCAGTGTGAGGAAGAGCAAGTGATTCCTGGAAACATGTTGCATGCACTCACTTGTAATGTAGGTGCCATGAGCATTTGGGAAGCTTTCTCTTTGAGAAGGGCAGCATGCCTGGTCTGGAGGAAGCGAGAGATGGAGGCTGCACTTGGCTGTGGTTCCCATCCACCCCCTAGAAGATATAAGTAGAAGCAGAGTTTGAATTAAGATCACAAATAGTCAGTGTTTTAAAAATGAATTAAGTGGTTAATATCTCACACTTTAAATAGTGAATACCTTGTAGAAGTTCATGAGTGTTTAGCAGTCCATTCATACACTGAGCAGTGGGCTGATGGCATTTGTGCCAGCATGTAACTCTGCTTATGTCCAAAAGTTGGTCCATTAATTCTCCTGCCCTCAACTTTTCAATTTCTTCGTATCAGTTGTTGTTGTCCTCCCCTTCATTTTTTATTCCTTTTAAAATGTCAGCTGGAATTTAGGATGTAAGCGTTTAGGTATCTGAAGGGAGGCCACAGTTCTGAGCACAGATCAGATTGCTTTTCCTTCCACAACTCCCTCTTTGCATTCCACCCTGACATAGTTTTGTTGCAGTTACTTACTACATAGATAACTAAATGCTTTAGATGCTAATTAAAATAGATGATGTTTAACTGTTGGCCTATGGTATTTCTCTATGATGGAAGACAGCAGCAAACAGAATCATCTATTATCATTATCAGCAGTGTCTTTCTTTTCTTCTCCGGTCCTTATCCAAGCAATACATACATCCAGGCACTGACTTGGTTCCCATAAACAGCCTTGTTTCCAGCAGAACCTCTGCCTTTCCACTGTCTCACCTTTCAGTTCACCCCAAACCTACCTTAGAGCCATACATTGTAAGTTCCCGGGGGTTTTTTATACTTGAAACTTTATATTGGAATTGTTTCAGGCCATAATGCATGAAGCCTCGTTCTCTGTATGCAGAAGTGCATTCCCATTAATCAAAGGAAGAGCTGAGTAAAGTGGTACAATCCACGTTCTCATTTTGCAAAATTAAAAGGCAGTATCGTCAGTAAAAGGCAATTCGGCTAAATGTTTTCTGATGGAGGGAGAATTGGGACACACTACATTGTCTGGTGACTTTGCCAAAAATGTGACACCAAGAGGCACGACAAATGAATGTATAAATAGTAATTGTTCTGAAAGGAGTAGTCATAAATCAAAATGTGAGCTGCAGGACATTTCTTTCGCGGTGATACTTCAAATGTGATCTACCTTGAATTAAAAGAAAATCAGATTTTCTCTTCTAATTGCACTGAAATGAGATAGATACTGGAAACCCAATTTCCCTGAAGCAAAATCCTATGCAAAATATGAAGCTCTGCAATAAACATTAGACCAAATTTTGCAAAGAGAAGTTTGTTGCAGTGTGCAAACCAGCAATTTGTTGGAGCAAGAGGCTGTTAATCATACAGCACTTAGGGTTAGCAAAGTTCTGGCCTTGAATCAGTGACGCACTACAACAAATTGAATCACTCCAGTAGGAACAGATAAGGTGATCTGTGCAGTTCTGCAACAAATCTCAAAAGACCTTTTCCCTTGCAGAGCAGCTTGTGTTATAATGAAATACAACCCTGTTATTTGTTGTGACCGTTTACCAGCACAATTTGACCTGTCTCATGATGTCTGTCGTTTACCCTGCTTTTGGGTGGAGAAATTACCTGCAGCCTACTTCTCCCCTTCTAATCCCTGAACAGCTTCTCTGTTAATATGCATAACCTGGGCACCCATAGTAAAAACAGCTAAAAAGCTGAAGCCTGAAGTTTGTAGAGCAGGTGAGCACTGGGTCTTATCAAAACAGAGATCTTCCTAACATTTGAGATCCTGTGGACTGGTCCCTGCAGATGTAATCCAACTCTGTTCCAGTTATTAGATCAGATAAAGGATTCATAGGGCACTTTAAAGCCTGGGTGTACCTGTATTCCCAGAAATCCTCTGGCCATTTCCCTCTTCTCTTCCAGAGACTCTGTGTGACCAGTTTCTGCTGTGCCTATAAGCAGTGGTGTGTAGGTTGGCATCACTAGCTATAATTTGCTATAATTACATTTGAAAGTAGTCCCTTGATAAGATTTGGAAACAGGGACCGGCTCAATTATGCAGCTATGTGATCTAATTTTATTTGCTTTGGTTTCACAGTCTCCCTCTTACCCCACTTGTTGTTTGTCACTCTCCCTTTTGCTCTGGTTTACATCAAAAGAACTCATCTATGCTTCCTATTTGTATAGCTTATGATACAGGGACAGCCTGGGGAAGAAGCATGGGGCCTTGAAACACAGATGTTTGCTTGGAGGAAGCCAGGCTTGGCAGTCCTGGGGGTCAAGGGTGGAGAGAATGTAACAAGAATGTGTCATTGCGTTGCAAGAAAAAAATACAAAGGCTTTTGAGCAGGAAGGTTTGCTGTCAGCTGCTAGCCCACCTGGGTCTGTTTAGGAAGTGATGAATTTTTTGGTATTCCTATAAATTTGAAGTGGTCAAATGATGATAAGTTGGTTGGTTTCTTTTCAAGTTTTATTCTGGAACAACAGCAATTGTGCAGCAATTGCTGCTTTTTCGCTGGGTACTTGAACACCAGCTCAGTGAGGTACGAGGCAGAGATGCTTGGATAGCCTTCATATTCATACACTACTGATGCATTTTTTGGTTTAATAACTCATATTCCTCCAGTACAGCCATTTCCTCAGCAGCAGCTAAGAAGCTAATCTGGTGGCCAGACTGACCAATGTGAGATAGATTTCTGAGGCTCAGTAGCAGAAGTCAAAACTGGTAAATTTAGGAGTGAGACTAATGCATTTCTTCAGTATGGCCTGCAGGTCAGCCATTACCTGCTAATAAATAGGAAATAAATAAATAATAACAGTGCCAGCTTCCTTCTGTTTTTTATCTCATGTAATATTCTGAGTCTGTTTGTGTCACAGAAGAAATTACCTGGTCTGGAGGACAAACAACCCACAGCCAGATTTCCCTGCCAAAGCCTGCCTCAGGCTGTCCCCAGCACTTGCAGATCTGCAGGTAAATCACTGTTTCCACCAAGAGAACTTTCTGGCCATCTTATGTCTTGTGTCATCAGTATCTGTGTGGCTGACTGGGTCCACAGGCAGTGATCATTCTCCAGCTGAGAGCTTGGCTTTCCAGTAGCAGCTTGGTCATCTCCTGAGAGCAAGTAGCCAGGCATGACTGCCTTCTTTCTCACTGCTTTCTCCTGTATTTCATTGAGTTTATCCACCCTGCTAAAACTTGAGGTGACTTTTAGATGATTGATGCAATTAATTTCATGCTGCATATCCAGTAAGTAAAATATTTTCTCCCTGTTTTTCACCTAGCTGCTGGGATCACACTGATAGGTTTTTATTACTAGAATATTCACTAATATGTAAACATTTCTTCAAGCCAAATCTGTTAATTACTTTTTCTGATATCTGCCTGGCTTTCCAAATAAATATATGAAAAGCAGAGAAGACAGACACATGACACGATCTGCTGTGTAAATCACTCCATATATCCTAAACCGTTTTCTAGCACAATGCTAACTAATTTATATCAGAACACCCAATAATTATTAATGTTATTGATATAAAATTAATTCAGCAGTGGCTCTCAAGTTAATATCTGACTCATGACCGAATCGGCCTCTTTATTTTTTGCAAAATATTTGGAAATATGACGTCATGGGATCTTGCTAAAGGTGCACATAATGATTCAAATGCCTTTCCCCTCCACCAGTGGAGGGTGGCACTGTGAAAGTATCCATCTAAGGCCTACATGTGCAAACCCACTTCTCTTCTGTGCCCACCAAAACATACATTTACCTGAAGTCTAACAATTATCATTTCATTTTAAAAATGCCAAAATACCACATTCTCTCTGTATTCTCTAGTGGCTTTATGTTTCCTCCTCGTTACATCAGTGGGTGGCCAGGTATTGCCTCACCTCACTCCATTTTGCATGGAGCATTCAGTTAACCAGGCTGGAACCAATAACACCAATAGCACTTCCCCCTCCAGAAATCCAACTCTTACTGCACATCCATTTTTAAAAACGTGCTATTGATCCTTCAGGGGACTTCAGGAATCCACTCTCTTGCGTCTGCAGCCAAGGAAAGGAGCTGGCCTGTCACCAGGATAAAGCTGCTTATCGTGGCCATCAGGCTGCATGACTGCAGAGGTGCAGGGTCTTGCTGCATCCTACTGAGCCAAAGCAGAAAATGGGGAATTTAATGGGAGACTGGCTAGCATAAGACTTCAGTTCAAGTACAGAGATTATTTTGGTGACAATTAAAAGAACAAACAAACAAACATGAATATTGGGTGGGTTTTCACATCTCCAACTTGGAGTCATTTGGAGTTTGCCAGCCCTCATGTCTTTCATTAGTCAAGGGTATTTGCTTGGTTTACCATCCATTTCTCTTCTTTTGTTGCCTTGAAGGAAACAATGTATTACAGAGGGGATGTTCTACTCTCAGAAAGTATACAGCAGCTCATTTAACTCTGCTTCTCCTGACATTGTAGCCTGAAATTCATCTTTAATCCAACCATTTCTTCCTGCGCAGAGTTAACCCTTTGGTAAGGGAATTACCTCTTACCTGAGACAGTGTTGGTCACAGTGAAATACACACAGATGTGTCTGAAGGATGTGGTGAATTCTCCCAGAAGGAGTTCAGATTAACTTGCTGACCGCAATTACCTGAAAATGTTTGGAGCCTTTTGTTCACTTAATCTTGTTTAACTCCTTCCTAATTGCTATGCAACAATCAAGGCTTTGACTTTCCATTTCAGATGTCTCTGAGAAATGTTCAGGTAAAATTAAAACAGCTTTCAGAGGCTAAAGAGGTAGTGAGGCTGGAAGACTGCTTGGTCTTCGAGGTGCACGCTGGTCCCTCTCCAAAGGGAAGCATTATCCACCACTTTGGGTGAGTTGCAACTGCATGTGTGGCAGGCAGAAAAGACCCTCACTGGAGAAGGGAGAGGGCTGCCAACAGCACATTTTGCCAATGCCCACTGGCTATGGAGCCTGTCCCTAGTCCCAGTGGGGTGAAACAGCTCAAATATCTTTGATCCTTCCAGGCACGATGTAAAAAACCATCTGTACAGAACAGCTTTGGAGGAGGCCTGATGGCATGGGATTTGGAGCTGGGTGGAATGGGGTATATTCTGCCACTTGATTTATTGGCTGGTCAGATGGATTTGCTTTTTCTGTGCAGGAGGATCATTATGTTGCCAGGTGTTTATTCCAATTGGACTGTGAATCTAGCTAATTGCCAGGGCACCTAGAACTTGTGAGTAACCTTCTATGAGAGCAAACCAAAACCTAAATGTACAAAAAACAAATGAGGATTCAAGGCAGAATGGCCTTCTTTTGCTATCAGTCTGATTCATAAAGTAGAACAAAAAGTAAAACAACCAGCCAGTGGTTGCAAGCCCTGTGCAACCCAGTGGGCAGGGCCTGGGGCTCCAGGATCCCAGGTTTTGTCATCAGCTCTTCCAGCAGATGGTCTGTATGGCCTTGTTCAGTCTCTCCTCCTGCTTTTCCCAGGATGAACCATGTGGGCTGGGACAAGAAGGCTGTGTTTAGCTTGGGGTGCTTGCCCTATATATCACAGATGTGGGGACCTATCTACTCTGCTGATGCGTGTTGTGGCTTGACTAATACAGCTGCTTTTTCTTAAGTAACACTTGTTATTCCTGCACGTGGTGTGCCTTTTTTCTTCCCACATTGCTGGTGCAGCCAGTAGATGTCTGAGAGTCGCTGAGCACTTGGGCACAGCACAGGGGTATATCCTGCTCAGTCCCTTAGGACTTTATAACTTCCCTTCAGCCTTTCAGTGATGATGCAATAAATTACTCAGCAATAGAATTTAATTGCACAGCTGAATACATCATTTACAAGGCTTTTAGTGTCCCCTACTAAATTCTCTGCTTTTTCATCTAATCTCCGTAGGCTGCTGTGACGTTTTCAGAGACCTGTACTGTTTTCGTTCCTGGTAAATGTATCGATAAATCACAGCAGGAGAAAAAGTCCTGACATCTATCCAGAAGTTTTCACTGCAGCTCCCAGCCAGCACCAAGCTCCACGGGTCACCTGAGAAGCACTTTGCCATTGCTCTGTAATTACCATGGAACCTCTAATCCAGGCCACAAATTCCTCCCTGCCCATACTCCTTTTTATTTCAGAATGCGTATCTAATAGCAACCAAGGACTTTTCCTATTTTCTCACTTGGAATCTGTTTTGGGAGCTTGGAATTGCTATCTAACTCAATCAGTAACATCTGTGACTGCAGGGCAGCCTGAGTGGGAACGGTTAGGGGGTTAGACAGATTTCCTGCATTTTAAGGCTCTTTTCCTCTGAAGAGACTGCTCTGGGACAATCCAATTGCCTTTAATGCTGCTTCTTCCCTTCTTCATTTTAACCCCATCTTTTCTCCCCCTTTTTTCCTCCCCTCCACCTCGCTCAAGTTCTTTGGGTTTCAGAAGTAAAAATTATTTTAAGGACACATGCCAGCATTTTGAAAAGTTTCAGTTTCAAGCACATGAAAAGGAAAGTCTGAAGGGATTCCTAGAACTGTACTGCAGCTTGCAGGTATGGCTTTGATTTTCCTTTTGGCAGGCTTTCGCCATCCACTCTTTCATTGCCCTTCCAGGAAACACTGCTGGGTGCCTAAAGACCAGCGCGCTTCTTACACTTGGCAAGAGAAGATAACAGCAATGCTACAGCTTGGGCTTTGAAAGATTAAAAGCAACGTTTATTCCTTACAGTATTTTCAAACTTCTGTAAGTTAATTTAAAATCCATTTTAGAGAATGTTTAACTAGCAATACTGATTTATTTTTTTTAATTCTGAATATACTGTACTTGTTATTTAAACCAAGTAAGAGCTAGATTAAAGTAAGCGCAGTTCTTTAAAGTACAATAAGTGCTTTGAGCAGTCCTTTCCCTGTGCTGGAAGAAACACCCTGTGCTTCTGGGACTGGTCTTTTTATGATATCTCTGTGAAAGCCCATGTTTTGAGAGCAATTTTCAATTTTTCAGACAATTTGTACCTCTCCCCCCTTTTGGTGGTTGACCGACCTCACTGCTAGCTGAGTAGAGCACAGGAGTGTCCCTTCCCCGCTTTGTGGGCCTGCTGATAAATTATTCATACTGCTAATGAGGATTGAGAATTTTCAGGCATTTTTAACTGCTTGCATCACTTCGTCAACATTTCTCTCACACCTGCATGCTTCAGGCAGTCAGGTGTTTAAAATTACCAACACAGAGCTCTGCCCTTCTCCCCCTGAAAGTGCTTTGCTCAACAGTGGAGTCCTGTGGCTATTTTGTCTGTTTGTCTGCGTGAGGTTTTTTCTGTGCTAATTAGCATGAGGGGAAAGGGGACTCTGAGAGGACTGTGTTAATTAGCAAAAGGGATCACATATCTCAGCTTATATTAATTTTGAAATGACAAGACACAGGTGCACATTTAGTGGCAGTGAATGCATGTTAGCATTTAAGGGCCTTTTTTCTTTCTTCTTTTTTTTTTTCCCTCCAATGGATGGATCTTCCTTTAGAGGCAGTTATCAGAAGGAACAATCTCAAAGTAAGGAAGCCCCTGCTGAAGCTAAGAGCTACACGATATGAAAGGACTGATTATGTTTATATTATGTGGTCTCCTGTGAAAAAAATCAAGCCTTCCAGCTAGTAGAGAAAGGTCACTGGATCTGAGGAAACAACTGACTCAGTGTCTTAACTCTGAAGGAAATTAGTCCTTTGTAGATGAGAGGGATTTTCTGATCTAGTTTAGTGAAAGGCATACGACTATGAAAATAGGTTTTTATTTAGGGTTGGAGAATAAAGAGGAGAATCAGAAGGACTGGGAATGGGAAGGTGAAGATAGGAATGGGAAGGAGAGATAGGCGGGATGAAGCAGGAGTGCTTACACAGCAGCGTGGGTTTCCACAGCAAAGATTGAAAGCAGGTGAATTTGGCTATAAACAGGAAAAAAATGAATTTAAATGTAGCTTGTTCCCTTACTTGGCATTATAAGGTTACCCTGGTCATAGTTTCTGTGGCCTTGTACACAGGATTGCATGTGTGCTAATAGCCAAGCTGTTTTGGTGAAGACCATGATAGTGCTGTGAGATTGCAACAGGTGTAGGAATCTAAATCCTCATAAACTGCAATGACATCATGAAGTACGAGCACTGCAAATCTTTACAGATACCAGTCACTCAAAACAGATAAACTTGTGAACTTTGGTGTATATTCCAATCATTCAGTCATTTTTGCTTTGAAATAAAGCCAGCTGACTAACTGGAGATAACTTCATGCCTTGGCAGGAAGTATAGAGCATGCTTAGTGCTATACTTACAATGAAAGTGGCCATTTTGATAAAGCAGATCACTGTAGAAGCTGATCAGAAATGCACATGCAATAGAAGATTGTTTTTAATGGCTTTTGAGGAAATATTAAGATTTATTCGTGTAGAGACCTGCTCAGCATGTTGCACAAATTCCTGTTAGCACACTAATAAGTCAATGTGTTACCAAATGTTTAGTCATTATAATTAGAGCCACGTATTGTCCTTTTTACAAATAGGTCTGGCTTAATTGCACCATTTTTCAGCAGGATTTATGTGGTCCTGTTTAATCTAAAATTAGTACATGCACAAATGAAGTGCAAACTATTTTCCATCACTGAACTGTGAAATATTCTCCAGAATAGAGATATACCAACGTGTTCTGAAAACGATGCAATAAGCAGTCAGGCAACTTTGTGATTGTCTGCTTCTATAAAATTTGCTAGAAGTGAAAAAAATAAAAAATAAAAAAAATACACTAAAACATACATTAACTGCCAACTGAACAAAAACTTAAGTTAAGGGATCTAAATTGAACAGTCCTTTTTGATCACCACCAGTAAGACAGAGGATGGGGGAAATCATAAATCCATCATGATATTACTAGCTTTCAGCATTTATTAAGTACAGTGCATTTAATGTATCACATCCATCTATCACATGTAAAAGTATCACATTCTAAGATGGTCTGCAGGCCAAGGTGTGTAGGCCTAAATTTTAAGTTACTGTGACTAATATTCCTTATTACCCCCATAGCTTTGAGGACCTAAAGATGTACATTGGACGTGGTAGACATATAAGCAGGAGCTGCTTGATCTTGGGACACGTTAGCATTTGCAATACATACGTAGTGATGTGATGTTTGGAATATGTGTGATTTCCAAGAGTACTGTAACTTAGACATTAAAATCTAAATGCATGGCTGAATCCCACTTGGATCTAAAGGCCTAATGCTGGTTGAAATCGTGGTTCAGTTTGCATCTAACGGGAAAAAGTATTTGTTTTCAGTAGAGCTTTGGTCTTTATGTGTTGAATAGAGACTGACTGACTACTGTGAGGTCTTAGGGCAAATCAGGAAGCCAACAAAAGTTCCCATGTTACCCAGTACTATTATGGTAGTGCTGAGAACTGTTCTGCCTCTACACATGGGAGATCCTTCATGTTGTCTTCCTGTCAGTATTTGTAGCTGCAGTGTAGATAAATGCATTTTTGTGCAGTATGAGTTTGATCTAGAAAGTAGGAGAATGTCTCTATTATTAAAAATACATGAGGATTGAAGATAGCCCTTGGTTTGAATCTACTCTCTTGGTTTTTATGGGCTTGAAATTATTTCTTTGTATGCCTCAATGGGCCAAAATTTTGAGGACTGACTTGAAGTAAGGCACCCAGTGAGCTGTGGGGTATGATCTTACCCACGAGACACATGCATTGTAGTGCGTATGAATGGGTTAATATGCTGACAAGCAGTAGCTTGCAGGTCACTGCCATTTCTCTCTGCTTTAGCATGTCACCACAGTAATTCACGCTCTGAAACCTTAAGGCTGTATCTGGTAACGTTCACTTCTTCGTGCTGCAAATAGAAGCTTCAGCAGAGCTGTCTCTTAAACAGCACTGGCCCTGAGCAAGCACAGTGATCCTTGGGGATCAGAACCATCCCTGGGCCACCTCAGTGTGGCTTACAGTGGTGTTTGTGATGTGTATTATCCCAAAGCTGAAAGTACTGATGCACCAGTGAGGGGCTCATCCTTCTCTGCAGCTCTGCCCCAAACGCTGTGTGATGACAACAGAGGTGCTCCCAAAGCAGGGCCCAGGACTCTGGTGCTTTGGGATTGTGCTGAGGTCTGAACCAGGGTGTGACATTGGTCCTGCCAACCCTGACTGTCACCCAACCTCATTCTGCTCTTACCTAACATCTATTTTTCCTAAGAATTTTTGTAAATTAAAATCATATGCCCAGGTTGAGAGATTTGATACCATCTGTAAATGAGGTGCTGAACGTTAGAATGGTATTTCTCATGTAAACTTTTCCAACAGCACTTTAATGAAATCATTTAAGGACTGTTAGCTTCATTTGATAACATGATGCAGCGAAACACGATGCAGGAATAGGAAGTGGGCATCATAGTCATATCTGGAGAAATCATATGTGGAAAAGGATGTGACACCGAAATTTAGGGAACTCCTTTCTAAGGAGGCACATCAGTTGTGGATGTGGTGCTGGTAGTCTGGGCTTTGGGTGAAGTCCTTTGTAGATGTAGAAACCCTCCATAGTACATGAAAAATGTTCTTGGAGCACAGAGCTTGAGTTTTCTGAAATAATGGTGCTTCTAAATGAATGTGAGGAATGAAACATGCATTGTTATCAATTACTCAAGCTACTTATTTAATAGGTTCTGTGATTTCAGTTGCTTCCACAACAAACTCAGCGTTTCCAGTTTTTGAACAGCTTCAGGTAGGCAGCTTAGGACTGCCCTGATTTTGTTGTGGAGCATTGTTTCCCTTTAGCTCGTTCCCCTCCACGTAGGGTGACCATAACCTGCCTGCACGTCAGGGAATGATCTCAATCTGTTGGACACATCGTGTGAGCTGCTGACCTGTGCTGCAGCAGCACCCTGCAGCACCTGCAAGATGCTCCACCGACCACTGTGTGGCACAGAGCAAGGAGTAACTGCAGCAGCCTGGAGGAAACTGGGTCACTCTTGTAGGTACCTTAAAATATGAAGGAAGATTCCTCCTGAAAGCTGTGGAGCTGGAAGCAGTTATTTAAGCTCTTTTTAAGCAGAAGGGCTGCTCTTGCCTTAGTTCACAGAAATTAGTGCTGAAAGCACCTGGACTCAAAAGATAGAAGCTCTGCTCGCTTTTCTCAAGTTGGATATTCTGATATTTCTGGTGCATCTTGAATATGTAGAAGCAACAAAACTTCTCTCAAGGAATAAAGGCATCAGCGCAGGAAGGGGACAGATGGTGCGTGTTCCTGAAACTGAACCACAGCTCAGTGTTCCCAAAGAAAGTGAATCCCACAAGGTAGACGTGGTTTTAAATGAGCTGCTGATGCTGACAGTTGATAAAGGAAGGTTTGCCTCAGGTGAGTGATTGCCCTGTGGGGTGTCGGACCCGGCCCTCCTTGGTCAAGTTGGCCATGGGAAATCTCTCCCCCCAGGAGGGATGAGTTGCAGTGGGATGGAGAGGAGCTGGTGGAGGGGTTCTTCAGGCCTCCAGCATTTGCACAAACTGTTTCATGGTTATGTTACATGCTGATGCTGTCTTTCTGTTCATTTCATTTAAAGGTAGCTTTTAAAAGAAGAGCCTGAAGCAGTTTTGTGCTCACAGCATGCTCTCTGCTCCTTGCAATCCTGAGGCCTTAAAATCCACTTCACTTGCCTTGGGGTGCTGAGATGCTGCAGGATTGGCTTTCCTGGGCTGCCCTCCAGCTGTGTGGTGCCTTGTGTTAAACTAATTTGTTTCCTCCAAAGAGATTACCAGCATTTAAACGGTCATTAATTAAGGAGAATTTGTGTTTTTCTCACCCAATTTTTTTTTTTTTACATGCTTGGAAATAGCATTTTTTCATGCAAGTTTCTGCTGAAAAAAGACTCAGTAATTCACCTCAGCCTGTGGCCAGCAGTCTTTTGAAGCAAAAGTGCAAGGATTGGTGTAGACAAGTTACATGTATTGCACAGGGAGGATGTTTTCCTGACTCACACTGGGAGAGGATGACATTCTGTGAACTGTGAGAGTTCCTAAACCTTTCAGAAGACTTCTGCTCAATTTTCAGGCATTATTATGGTAAGTTGAGATTATTTTTTTTAATTATTTGTTCCTAGAAGGATTGGTCTTGCAGTTAGAAAAAAAATACAGATTAAATGATACTTGGAATTGTAAGTTTACCAGGTTTCTGGAAATGTGCATCTATATTTTTCTTTCAAATTTCTGCACTGCAATTGATTTCTTTTCTCTTAATTCCAGAATGTATTTGGAGTATTTCTTTATCTCTGATTCCTGTTGGCTGTCTGCAACTATTCTAGGCTGAGGATGAGCTTGAAAAGAATACATATATGCTCCTGGAATATAAATCAATTCCTAACTTCTCCAAGTTAAATTGGTGATAACATTTTTTATCTTCTCAGATACCAGTTAGTGTCACAAATAAACCTGGAGTTGTTATGAAGGACCATCACATTTCCTAGATTAATCCAAAGTATGCTTTCAGATTCTGAACCCCTCTCCTTAACCTCTGTTCCAAACATAGTTTATGCTGAGATGAAGCAGAGACAAATACACATTAGAACCTAAATATTGCTGCCTAATAGGAAGAACTGAGGGGCGTGTGCTATATCTTCTCATAGCAACCATAGGCCACATTTGAGATGTGGGGACTGAATGGATCCCATGCAATGGTTTCCATGGTTGCACAGGGTTTGGTCTACCCTGTAACATTAATATTCAAGTCCTTAATAAAATAACTTGTGCAAAGACAATTCTTCCCTGTTCATTTCCTATCCTAAACGATTATTCTGTAGATGTTTGAATGGATTTAAGACATGAAAGTGACATTAAAACTTAAAATGTAAAATATTTTTTTAGCATGGACTGGAGTCTTTTGCACTTGTGTAAGCAAAACTTCAGGTGCCTCTTCGGTCAACACTATATGATTTGGCTGATGAAATAATAATTCTTTTTCTTTACCAGCTTATTATTGTCATTTATCACAACCTAAGTTAAATTGCCATTTTTTGTCTGGCAAAGACAAGTATGCTGGTGATGGCTGACTGTTTTTAGAAGAAGACAATGTGAGGCTGAGAGCTTATAGATGGGATTGCAGTTGTGAACTTGTGACTGACCATTTTAAGCTCAGTAAGTTGTGCTGGACCATTGAATAATCCTTCATAAGGGAATGCCCACTTTTGTTTTTAATACCAGATTGAAGATTTTTGCCTTTGTTGTCATCCAGGGTTCTCAGGGGCTCTCCTTTGCTGGAAGCTGTCCATTACCTCATTTTTTATGTCCTGAAAAACCTCAGCTCTTTATTTAGGTGACCTCTGTGATAACAGCACTCTTAAATTACACCTTAGCCAAGAGTCATAGAGAAGTCCTCATTGTTGGTGTGCTTGGATAGTTCCACTTGATTAGGTCTTCCGTGTAACCTAAAATCACAAATGTTTGGGCTTTATGAAAGACTCCTTTTATAGTACCAGTAATTTGCGGGTGCTCTCCTAGTTCTGGGATAAACCATGCCAAAATGAGGTGTAGGATCACAGGGAATCCTTGCTGTGGGGAAGAGGCGTTGTGTAACTGCTGATTTACTGGAGCAGTGTTCTGGCAATTGTGTTTGATTTTTCAAGTCTCAGTGGGAATATCTATCTGTACTTGAGCATGGGGCTCTTATATCCATCCCATAATCATAGACTGAAATATGGAGAGGTTTTGGAGAGCTCTTCAGAAACACAACACAGTGCCTTAAGAAATTGTCCACATTTGTGTGACTTCGGTATCCATAATAGCTCGTGGCTACTGAGAAGCAATCAGTGCTGACTTCTGACCTCTGCTATATGGCTGAAAACCTGTGTGAGTGTGTGGAGCTCTGTAAACCTCCCACTGATTTATCTGAAGCGTTTATTATCTGGCTCACAGATGTGTACCAAAGCACTGTTTACAGAGAAGCTCAATGTGCAAGAAGTTTGCATTTTTAGCTTGTGTAAGCTGTTGTTTTCCCCCCGAAGTCTACAGAGTTACCATTTGACGTACCCCAGCAGAGGATCTGGTCTCTAACAAACTTTCAATGTATTGTTCTTGGCTGCATCTATGAATATTTCAGTGTGCTGAAGCTGGGCTCTGAATGCATTCATTCATAAACCACGGTATAAATGATCAAACACAAGGCTTCTTGATCTCAAACGCAATAAATCCTCTGCTTTCAGGTTTACTGGACTGGAGACTATCATAGAAATACTTCTCCCTCTCATATATAGGAGCAAGCTGGATTCAAGTGTTGCTCACTTTGGAAAAATGCCCCTGCAATTTCTTTGGCACACGTAACAGAGTGGACAGAAGCATCTCAATCTTCACGTGTGGTGGTGATGGGCCAGGTACAGCCTGCCTACGTGGATCTGATCTCCAGAGACACTGCTTATAGCTGTGGGGAAAGCAGTGACAGTGGAGAAGCAGCATTTACCTGAATACCTGCAAAATGCAAGCAGAAGGAAAGGTGACTGATTTCAAAACCAGAATGTGTCCAGATAAACTTATTTTTGTATTTCAAACCTTTTGTTATAAAAACACTGCATAGATGATTAACAGAGGTTTACCACTGTCTGCATTTCTATCTGAGTTTGTTCTGCATTTTGCAGATTTCTTTACTGAACTGTTGTAGAGCCTTACAGCAAAGCTGATGTGAAATGGATTTTGAGTCACAAAACAAGTTCAGACATCTCCTTGGACATACTACTCTTTTGGCAGTGATCAAAGTAGTTATATTCACATAAGAATTGTTTAAAGGCAATGTTTTCTAAGGGTGTTTATAAGCTGGTGACATTAGAGAAACCTGCCCAATGAAGACTAACAGCGAAAGTAAAGATCAGAACTTTTTCACCCTTTCTAGGATTCTTAAGTGGATGTTAATTCTTTCTGCAACAACGTATGACCCCATTTCCTGGGAATAGCAATACTCAAATCTGAACTCAGCCAAAATGAACACTTAAAAATATTGTACAAGGGGGATTTGCTTAACCCACGTACATCATCGTGGATGTTTCCCATGTGACACTGGCCAAAATTTTTCAAATAGAAAGCGTCATCATCAGGTATCCCTGTGATGCATATCTCCCTTGCAAAGGGCAGAGTAACAGTGACAAGTGGGAAATATAGTCTTGAGAGGCCATATTTCCTAGGAGAAATGCTTTTATTCCAGGATAAAATATTTCAAAATCAAATTTCTTAAATCCTTTCAAATTCTCTTTCTGTGGAGTTGCTCATCACCTAATGCCAGCACTGGTAAGGTTTGGGAGAAGCATAGTCTTGAAGGTACAAACCCACATGTTTTCAAGGACGTGTTGCCAACTCCTCTTTCTCCTTTCATTAGCAGGGTTATCTGCTAATTGTGGTGAGCAGAAGTTTCTTATTGGAGTGATCCATCAGAAATACTTCAGCAGTAATTGATTTGTAACTTATTTAAATGTGAATGACCACAAGTATGACTTCTGAAGTTGTCAAGAGTTTATCATGCACACTGTGCCTTCCTACGCTTAACTGGCACCGAGTATTTAAAAGAAAAGAGCCCCAAATCTAGCAAATTATTGATTGGATTGCTCTGTGCATCTGTGTTAACCTGAGTATCACCCTTCTTTGCATGGCTGCTTAAAAGTTTAATAGACAGTCCTGCCTTTTTGAATAGGAATTTTGCCAGCAACAACAACTGGGACAGGATTATTGACTGTCTGAGGCAAAGATTTGAAGATAATTGTTATGTTTAACTGTTAATTCTATAGAATTATCCCAGTAAGTTGTCGATGCATCTAAGAATTGTTTGATGTCTATCCATACACACTTGCAGTCGTGCACAAACTTGCCTATGGGAATCCACATGATTCTACTAATGTGTATGCAAAAGATTCACTGTGTTTTCTTATTTGTAAACAGAAAACATTTTTACTTATGTCCTGATAAAGGGAGCTATTCCAAACACATGACCAAGTTGTGTTACGACTGTGTTCGTCTTACAAACTGATCAGTACATCTTCATAAACTTGCAGCTGTGGTTCAGGGTGCTGAAGATGCAGAAATGCCAAAGCTAACACTGGGTGTTGCTGACCACCTGCTGCTTCACCCATCTGGAGAACTGTGCATAGACAGCTACAGCCTTCACTCAGCAGGATGTGTCTGATAGCAGAGCTGCTACCTGCCACCCGATGTGTCTCACCCTGGGAGACAGGACGATGAAGTAATGGAGCCCGGCTGTCTGCAGCCAGGGCTGCTGTACTACATCCAAAGCAAGTTTGCAGTCAGCAAGTGCTGCATTAATCTTTCTGGGAGTGTTTGTTTTTGCTTGTTTTGTTAGGCTGCATTTCAAGCAACTGATAATGTGTTCGTGAGCAGTTCTCCTGTTGCAGCCTGTTTTTCAAAAGAAGTGTGAAGACTGATGCTCCAAAGGTTTGGTGGAACATGAGTGTGAAGGGTTATATATGATCATGCTTGAAATGTGTGAGCTGATAGCGCTTTCAAGTGTGTGCTAATATGTCTGTGCAGGTACGTTTGGGATAGAGGAGTTATGGCTTTGTGTGAGTGATGAGTGTTTTAAGAAATACACCTTGGTCGTGGTTCTTCTTTATGGATGCTAATTGTGTCAGTGCAGCTGCCTCACTGCAAGTGAGCTGTGTGCTTGTTTGCTTAGCAATAGTCAACTCTTCTAATTATTCAAGGATAAACTCTGAAGCCCTCTGAGGATTAAATGATAAGTGCTTTATTTCTTAAAGCTTTTTGAGCGTTGAAATTCCTGAGATTTTTGGAGGTAAATGTCAGAGCATATGGCTTGTTGCTACCTGAACTTATGGTGTCACTCTCTGTCCAGCTGTGTTACTGTTGTTACAGTTCTATGGGTGCTTAAAGCCACATCCATCAAAGTATTTGTGCATTTAGTTCCTAAAAACAGAAAGGAATCCCCTAGAACTTTTCAGGGTGTGGAAAATTCAGATATGATTCCAAAGCCTCCCAGATGTGTTGAAAAGGAAAAATATACATATATTTTTCAGGACTCTTTTCTCTTTTCAAGAAATCATGTGCTGATTTGAGGGAAAAAAAAAATAAATTAGCAACATTTCTTCAAATCAAGAGAACTGTAGCTCCAGAATGAGAGTACAAGGAGGTGTTATGACCTTGAGGTCTTTTAGGCTGCTTAAGTACTCTGAAAGAATCAGTTATTGTGGATGGGCTGTTGGTGCTTATGACGATCTCTCAGGATAACACAAACCCAGTGGTTGTTTCATGTGTACTTACTTCCCTGGAAACTTTGAGAAGAAATTTTTTATTTAAATATGATCTTTTCAGCGGGGAGCACTCTGAAGGTGGTACCAAACAAGACAGTATTTAAAACAAAAATAATATATATATATGTTTATTTTTTTTAATGAAAATGTGAGAGAAATTGAATAGTGCATTGCTTTTCTGATAACTTTCCTGCCTGTACTTTGCAGAAGTTTTCCTTTCTGTTATCATTACTCTACTCTTGCACCTTTTCCTCATCACGATAAAGGTGATTAGAAACACAGAAATGAGGAAAAAATAACCTTTGAATTCACCAGTCTGGGGGCTGATTACACGTGTGTTTTGTTTCTTTCTGGTTTGCACTAACATTTCTACTCTGAAGTCAAATAATTCCCCTAGCATCTTGCTCTGGAAGGACCCACAGTTGATGGCACGCAGCCAGCAGGATGCCTAAATGGGGAAAGCTGGTGCTCATCCTCTCCTGCTGCAGTCATGAATGCTGTGAGCATTCCCTTGATGCAGGAAAGTGCTGTGGTATCAGACTCAACATTAATTGGTGTGGTAACAGGAGGGCTCCTCCCAGCTCAAGAAACTATAAAACCTCCCTTCTCCAAATCAGCTGCTAAAATTAGATTTAGGAGAGTTTCACATCTTGTATTGTGCTGCCTACCTCTTTTTGAAGAGTAATGCCAATCCTGAACTCTGTGACACACCGTCTTACAGTTACATAGTAGGAAAGTCTCGTGCTATCATGTAGGATACCCTGCAGGCTGCTGCAAATGACAGTGGGGAGACTGTACAGCTCTTGGTGATGTGAGGTCCTTAATATGGACTTATCAGAGTGTGAGGTGTGTTGTGGCAGATGTGGGTTAAACTGTGTGCAATCTAGTGCCTACAGAATCTAAACGTGGTTTCTCTTGCAAAACTTATCTTCCTAATTTTCCTGAGAAAGAATTGAGTCTTTTGTCTATTTTACAGAAATAACAGAAGTTCTTTGGAAAACCAAAATATATGCTCTGCAGTTTCTGAAGTGAGAGTACACAAAGTTCAGGCAAGTTACTAAGAACAGTCCAGTGTATAGCTGAGAGAGGAGGAATAACCGTGTCATTTCTTTGGAACCTCATCTGAAGTTCACTGAAGTGAATGAAAAGGCTCCTGTTGGTTTTAAGTGGATCCAGCCTTTGCACAGTGAACAGAAGACATGTGTCTTATCTGCTTAAACGTGAAAATGCTATTGATAATTTATTTTGATGGAAAGAGCACATGGTAACTTTCTCCTTGCATTTATATAACAGGAGGCAAAAGCTTCAAGTGCGCATTTAGAAATCATTGAGCATGCAGTTGCTTTCTACTACCACAATGATAGTGGCACAAAGATTACACTGTGTTAATATTTGATGGAGGGTAAAGCACTAGGCACAAGTTTCCCATTGCCATCCTGCATAAAGATGATGGCTTACCACTCCTGGGGAGCGATGTCATCACCATCCATGCACTAAGGAGATGGTTCCTCCTGAAGCACCTCTGCTGGTGTCTTCTGAGTCCAGTTCAAGTCATGTAACATTCAAATGGTTTGAAGGCCATGCCGAAGAATATTGCAGAGCAGGAGAGTGAGCAGAGATGACATGGCCGAATCATCAGTAATAAAAGTGATGTGATGGTTTGATATGAGCAGATCCTGTTTTACGTTAATAACTTGATTAAAAAATTAGCAGAGTTGCTCTGAAATTTCACCAGTGTGAAATCATGTGAGAATAAAAGCAAAAAAACCAAACCAAAACAAAAAAAACAACCCCAAAACTGCCCCACAATTAACTTTTCCTTCTCTTTTCTTTAGGAACGCTGATTCAGTTGGCGTGTTTCTTTGGAACGCTGAAATGAATACAGTACATGTCAAGACACTGCAAAAACAGAAGGAGAATTCTCATGGACTGATGAACTGAGAGCTGAAATGGGAGTAGCAGATCAGAACCAATTGGTGATCAGTTACTGTATGCTGTATCTCCATTTTTAAGCCATCTTAGAGAATGATGAGTTAGACAAGCACAAGACTCATTGCTGGGGGAGTTCCTGGAACTACACAACAACTTACTGTCAGAGAGACTTGCAGCATTACAAAGCATCACCTCTGCTTTCCAGACTCTGAGTCTCCAGACAATTAATGTATGTCTTCAGTTACTACGTTGTTTCTCTCACACTTCTCCTGGGTGAGTATGAAACTGCTGAGCTGAATTACACTTTATAAGATGATAGGGAAAGATCTAACATCTATTTTTTCCATCTTACAGATTTTATAGTGTTAGCGATGCTAATTTTTCAGCCTAAAAACCAACCAAACACTGAAGTCCTGCTACTCCTGAACTGACATCATCCAGGTAAACAAGAACATCTGACATCACTGATTTGTGGCTTACGTGCCAAATCATTGAGCCCCACATCACGTTCACCACTAGGAAATGAAAAAGGTGAGCTGTACCTGACTCTAATGTTTATGTTCCCTACTGGTGTGCTGGCATCCATCCTCAGAGAGTGCTGGGCTCAGGCTCACTCTGCGGATGGTTTTCTGCTGGTGACCCAGAGATACATGTGCTGGCTGCAATTGGTTTCTCAGTCCTTGAGTAGACCAAGCCCTGTAGGGATTTATCAGTGATCCTGCTTGGCTCTAACGTACACTGTCATCTTCTTGACTTTCAACTGTGGACACAGGTCACAAATAAAAGTGTTAGGAGAACTTGACTCAGAGGTAGGAAAATTCACTGCATGAAATGTTTTCTATCTTTGGAAAAATTTCACCATGGTGCTTGAAAAGCTCAGGTTTGCCATTCCCTTTGCTCCTCAATAGGCTACATGGTTTGTTCCACACACTTGCTGTCTGATTAGTTTTGAGGTGTTCTTGCATTATATCAGTTAGTAAGCGAGTTCTTGTCAAAGCCAGAGTATAAACTTGCGTGGGGTTCTTGTGTTCCTTCAGTGTAGCCAGTCTGGCATTTTCTGCATGAATGAAAATTATTCATTGAATGTGTTCCATGTGGAGTTTGTTCTATTACATTTTTCATGTAGTTCTAATAATTTCTAAGATGTATGTCAGCTTACAAATAGAAAATGATCACCATTTATATTGAAAAAATAACAATGAAAGCCATAGCTTCATTAGTAAGATCAGTAGGTGAATTGCTATACTTCTGTTTTCTTTTTCCTTTTTCTTTTTAATGTTTTTATTTATTTTCTTTAAATCTCCGAGCCTTGTAGAAGCACTGAAATTCATTTATACTGGTTTTTGCTGTTGTTGGTCTTGTTCTGATCTTTCTCAAAGCCACTCTTTAACTATGCACCTTTGGCTATCAACGCTGTGGATTTCTTTTATAGATGAGAAAGCTTCTTTCCAGTAACTTATCAGCCTGGAAAACCAGCCCTTCAGGGTAACACCCAGCCCCTGCTTTAAATGTCAAGGAGAAAAACATCTTTGTATTGTAGAGCAGTCACAGCAGCTCCATTTCTGACTTGGTAGCCCTTGGATGGAAAAGGAAGCCCTTTTCTTTTCATGTAGGTTGTTGGGTTTTGGTTTGTTGTTTTTATTTTTTCGGTTTGGACTGTGTCAAACCAAAAGGCAAGACTGCTTCTTTATAAGCTTATGCCCCTGTGGGCTTCCTAAAGGCCCCTTGCTATGCTTGCATCTGACAGAAGATGGCAATGTAGGGATGGAGGCAAATACCTTTCTGGAATGGGAAGATTAAGAAAGCTTTTCATTTCCACCAGCGTTAGAGGCCAAGAGAGATTAACATTATCTGCTTTCTGTTTTACTCAGTGGAGGGGACTGTACTTTATGAGCAGTAGAGTGGGAAGAAGTATTTAATCAAACTGATTTTCTACTTGCTACTTAAATTCATGGTGACAGGTCAAAAACATTATGGATCCTGTGCTAGTTAAAATGATCTTTCATCCAATTTCAGTCCTGTAAGTTTGACAAATAAGACATTACTCGTGCCAGTTAGATTTCAGGCAGTCCTGTTAAGCTGCAAAATAGGGACTTGTAGAGCCTTTGGATCTACTGAAATGCTTTTCAAGGTTTTGAATTTGTAGGGCAGAAACTGGGAGGTGGGAGAATGCTCCTGTTGCAGGAGCCTGGGTACACTGCTTTAACATCAGGGCATCTATTCCAGCTCTGAGGATCCCACAGATTTACTGGCATGCTGGTAGGAGCCTGGTAGGGTCCCACTGGCTGCAACGAAGTACAGCTCTGCTTAATGCCCTCATGAGGATCCGAAATATTTTTCTTATTAAGGAACCTCCTCTGCCTGAGTCCACTGAACTGCATGGATTTGCCATGGAGGAAAAGGCTTTGCTTAGTCTTCAGGTCAAGCAGGATTTTAAAATCAGTTGCTGAATTTGTGTTCTTCTTAAAAAAAATCCTCTTGCTTGTTACTACACAGGGTTAAAGAATAACTGCTCTGCTGTGGGATTTGGGGGAAAGTGAAGCCTACATCCTATCTGTAACTGCCTAATGGTATATATGATAGTTTACCTTTAAAAAAAAAATCTTTTAAAAGAGAGCCTTCTGATTTAGTGAGCTGGAATCCTAGTGAGGAGAGGGAAGGAGGTCAAGGGGAAGAGAGATGAGGGAAGACTCTGTCATAAGCATTTCCTTCTATTACCTGCAGGCACATTTAAACCAGCTGTTGATATATTAAAGTAACTTTTAAACATCCAAGATATATGCCTAACACATCTATTCTGTTAGGTTTGTACCAAGTGTTTAGAAACAGCACCCTCTACTTTTAGTACTCTCCAAAGGCAGCAATGTCTGGAGCTTTCCCCTTGCCATCCCACCTGCTAACATCCATGCTACACAGATCTAGTTCAGCTCTAGTTCATCCTCCTGGGAGTGAGGACTTGCTAGGGATGGAGTCCTGCCCCATTGGAAACTTGGGCTGTGGGAGGCACTCCTTAGGTTTTTGCTGCCTCCATACCTTCACATTGGCACCTGCTGTCTCGCCTACATCCATCTCACAGAATAAACTGGGTCCCCCTGGTAGGCACTGGGAAACATCATCGAAACCAGTGGAACTGATGGTGCCAGTCCAGTGTCCGTAGCAATATTTTAAGTTGGAGCAGGCAAGACTATCAATTGTGAGAATGGGCAATGCTGGCCCTCAGTCCTTCCCTTGCTCCCCTCCCCTCTTATTTATAGGTTTCTAATTTCCGCTGGATAATGAATATCACTCTTCATTATAATTATGTTAAAAGGTACCAGCATGATGATTCAGAAACCCTTGAAGATATAGTCATATTTTCAGCAACAGATGGATTTAACACTGCAGATGGAGTGTTAAGAGTGCAGGTAATAACAAACTCAGCAATGTACTGTACTGAAATATAATTGGAAAGTATTAATCATATATTGGTTACTTCAGCTTCACTAAGTAGATGTTTAATTTTCATCAATCTTTTTACAAGATTCCCGGAAAGGTTTCTTTGTAGACGAAGTGTGGCTTCTAGGTGAAAGGATTGCCCAAGTTATTAATGACCAAGGCCTTGATCTTGCAGGCATGTGCCCATGGCTTACCCAGGCATGCAGAATAAAAATCATTTGTGTTAATAAGGCTGTCAGATGGGGCCCCATTCATATGGCCTGAAGTTTCAGCTGGTGATGAGTCGGTAGTAAAACCGGGACCTCTCTGAACTCAGGGGCTGCTGGAGACCTGCCAACAGGAACTACTGACTGCAGATTTGGGAAGAATGCAGGCAGTTTAGAAAGCCTGGTTTGCAGAGGTAAACTGTGACTTTAAGTCTTTGCAGGGCTGCGATTTAGCGTGTCAATAACACTGTGAGAGACCGCTTTGTTTGGTTGTTTTCTTTTGCCATTCTTTACTATTTCCTCTAAGCTCAACCCTTTAGAAATAATCTGCATACAGGGAAATGTCTGCTACTGTTTCCATAAACCATGTCATCTGACTGGTTTTTTTTTTTTGGTTTTTTTTTTTTTAATGTGGGGATTGCATTTGAAGCCTGGGTAATGCAAAGGGATTTTTGCTCACAGCAGGCCATGCAGGGCCAGGGGAATTAGTGGTGTGCAGTTGCATACCATTACTCTGATACTTTAATTAATGTTACTTAAGATGTCATCTTTAGGGTCAGAAAGTGGTCTGTGCTATACTGTGTCACCTGAAGGTGGCAGGGGGTGCTGTAGGGCAGATCTCTAGCTCACGTGGGGAAAATCTTCATCTGTTTTCTGGGAAAAATAGAAAATACACTATTTTTGTGCAAACTGATATATTTTCTTTTTATTGCATTTCTGAGGATGCTGTACCTCCAATGGTTTGCATTCACGTTCTTCTGAGTTTTGGCCTCTGGTGGAGTTACATCACAGAGCCACAGACAGGTGGAGGAGGGAAGGCACCTCTGGGTCCAACCAACCCCTGCCCAGCAAGACACCCAGATCAGAGTGCCAGGGCCCACCTCCTGCTGGCTTTTGAAGAACTCCAAGGAGGAGACCCCACAGCCTCTCTGGGCAGCCTCTGCTCCATTGCACACCAGTACATCTCCACTGACTTCCATAGGCGCTTTCCTTCCTGATGAGAGCCTACAGCCATGGTATGCCATGATGAATGTGAGCTGACCAGGCTTGTAGACAGCTATATAAACATGTAATACATACATTTTAAAGCATGTAAAATATTTAGTTGAAATTTTTTTTTTTCTAATTGTCTGTGGACACTGAGAACATATTCAAACTCTCTGGAACATTGACTCTCGCTTGATGGTATGATAGACTTCTACTTTTTTATCTTGTCTGAGGAGAAAAAAACATTACTTTTCTGGTAAGAAAATTCAACATGACTAAAAGTCATGATGGTGAACACACAGTAATGCAGCACTAGTGTATTCTCTGTGTTCTGAAAGGCTCCTGTACCTCAGAGAGATATGAGCAGGTACTGATAACTGACCATGACGATGGAAGGAAGAGTTGGGAGTGTGATTCTAAATATGGTGTCCTTTAAGGGTACCCAACAAGAAGACTTGTCTCTGACACTAGTGTGATGGGGAAGCAGTAACTTGTTTGTAGCAAGTGGAAACAGAGTTGGAAATCATCTGTCCCTTATCTTCCCATATTCTGGATAGGCTGTGGGATAAGCATGAGCCCCAGAGCCACAACAGGTATTGCAGGCTGGGCTGAGTTCTGGGGGGCAGCTGGAACCACCTCTGAGCTCTGTGTGACATATGATGAAGGTGGTGGCACACAGCTGACTTACGTGACTGCCTGGGTTCCAGCACGCGGGGTGATACAAAGGGCAAGAGTCATGGTGGATCAGTTTTCCCGACTGGATGCAATCTGAAGATCCATCTCCCGTGTACATACTGGTAGGATAGACTTTTG